TGAACAAGTATGAATATATTTTACCTTAAAGTTCAGAAAGTTGGTGCCTGAGAGTGCATGTGTGTGGTGATCTCCTCACACATCAGTCAGAGCAAAGCATGTATAATATACTCTTCAGGAGGACAACAGTTCCTTTTAAAATACTTTTGATTTGTTCCCTAGATTTTTCTTTGGGCTTGAATTGTCCTTCTCTTCCACTCTTCTCTCTCCTATCCCTCCAGTTGCCATGCTGCAGAGTAAAAGGAAGTATCAATACCTTGTCCTGTGCTTCTGGTATCTACGGACCTCGGACGTAAAGAAAATGAGACTGTGGCTGGCTTCTCTCAAGCTGTGTGTGTGCCTCTGAAGGACAAGCAGGAAGACATCACAAGTCCTGAGACTGTAGTCCCATAACAATTTAATCCTCATGCTTTTAGGGAGAAATCCAAAGATCTCAGTCCCATAACAATTTAATCCTCATAATCCTTTTCAGGATAAGAGAATGAAAGAAGAATGTTTAAACTGCAAGAAGTTAAGTATTTAATGTTTAATCTTTAATGTTAATCATTACTCTATTGAAAGAAAAGCAGCACGTGTATTGGTAAAGACCTCACAGACTGGTAATATAGGCAAACCCTGAACTTCTTTGTAACTGGAGATGTGACTGAGCTGTGAAGTTAGCTGTTAAGGAGGAAGCCATCTCTCCATAAAATTGGATATATTCAGATAATCACTGAAGAATGACTGTGTACATATGTCTTTTCATTCTCATATATGTCTCCAGGGCTTTTCACATCTTGGGGCTTGGAACTGGCCCCAGCCATTTCTCACCTGCAAGACAAACCAGCACAAAAGAGAGTTAACATTAAATACATAGAACCACATGGCCAGACACAGTTCTGCAGGTGACTGTTCTCCCCTTTGGAAGGGGAACTACTGCAGATTAGGGAATACAGATTTATGTCATGCTTCAGCCAGCTTCACAAATCCTTCACTGTCTGGTCACAACTGAAGCTGTACAGAATTCTTTTCCTCTGTCACAGATGAGAGATTCTGCAGGTCTGGGGCACTCCATGTGAGGGTAAAACAAATTCATTTTAGGACTTCCCTTCTGAGGAGTGGGGGGCAAGGGAGAGAAAAAGGGTGGAAGGCTGGGGAGTCAGAGAAACAAAAGGAGAAAAATCTGTTGAACTCCTTGGAGTTGAGACTAGAAACCAGGCTGTAACATTCCAGTTAGGGTTAGTGACCAGCGTAGTGTGTACTGGGTACTCATCTTCCTCACTCTCACTTTAATCAAGAATATTTTTATAGAATCAGAAACCCATCCAGAAAGGAAAATAGCTAAAAAAAAGGCCAAACCCTTCTGCTCAAGCCTATGACTAATTTTAATTTACATTAATTAAGCTTTTCTGATATTTTTAAGCAAATGCATCAGAGCTAATTATGTGCTTAACTCCTTTGAGTTACAAAGTCTCACAAGTACCAAATCTTGAAATCAATAGTCAAGCCCTCTAACTCATGTCAAAGTAGGTGACTGAGATTTATTACTTACCACAACCTATTCCAATTATCTTTAAAAATTTAAAGCAATTTTTCTGTTAACAGAACTACAAAAAAAGGATGGCTCATACACAAATGCCTGTTAAAAAGTTCAGTATTGAGGCAATTACAAGTTAGGGACTGGGGGGCTGTGATAATGTGCTTTTCATTAAGGAACAGATACAAAATGGAAATGTTAAAGCTACAAAACAGAAAAACAGCATCAGCCATAGTCTTCGTCTTAGCCAAGGCCTAATGCCCAGTACCAAAAGGCTAAAGAGAAACTTTCTGAAAACTCAGGAGTTTCAGTAGGAATTTGGGAATGGCACATGGAGCACGAAGCCTTGAAACATGCCCAGAGAGGATGGAGAATGTAAGTCACTTCTTGTTTGGGAAAGCACTCCATCTTTGGTTACTCTGACTCTACTGAGAGACATTCCAACCAGCAGTTCAGTCCCATGAGAAGGATATCCAACATTATTTTGTATTTGAAAGATCTTAATGGTGTTTGATTTAGCTGTATTAGCTATTTCATTAAAAGACAGTGAAAGCGTGAATCCAAAGGTGATGTCAGGAGATACACTCACCTATAAAGTTGCCCAGTAGCTCCAAACGATCAGAGCCAAAGAAGAGCTGAGGCTCCCCGTGGAGATGTGCCACAGCAGCAGGCATCCCGAAGGCCTGGTGACACCAGGGAGGGGAAACAGAATGTCACAACAAGGGTTTCTGCAGACACACGATCAATCTTCAGGCATACAAAGCAGTCCTTTTTACTTCCCCCCCTTTATTCTTAAGGATGAGTCAAGGAATGCATGGCTGTGATGCTAAATGGCACTGGCAGCATCTCACCCCGTATTTTATTGCCTCCTCTGTTGTCTCCTTCAGTCGGTTCTTTACTTCAGGAGTTGAAATCATTTCAAGTAGCTTCTGGGCAAGCTCTGATGATATCCCAGCCTGCCTGGCAACCTGGGAAAAGAGTATAACTAAGAGTACTCTAATACTAAATATTCTGATTCCTAGTATGGTCTAATTAATTTCATCTTCAGTATTATCACCCAAGGTCTATTACCAAAAAAGAATTATAAAATACCCTTGAAGCACATCTTGCCCAACTGTATTGCTGCATTCCCAACCCATTCATCATTTATCAACTCTCAAATACAAAGCAGAAGGGATATTTTAAATTTCCAAGCCTCAAATCTGCACTTCCTTTTAGGAGTTCCTAAAAAAAAAAAAAAAAATATATATACACTCAGATCCACACACCCGCCCGACTTAGTGTCATCTGCAAACTCAGCTGAGGCTGCTCTCCATCTCCTCACCAGGATCACTGATAAAGTGTTAAAAGAGGAGCAGCCCCAGCACTGAGCCCTGGAGCACGGGTTGCTGGGGGGCAGACTCAGCTCTCTTCACCTGCTGGCTCTCACTGGGATTGAGTTCATTTTCTTCACAGGAGATTCTGTGATTCCACTTCAGATCCACGACCAAAACAGAGCTGATGACACCGTTTCAGCTATCGCTGTCCAGTGCTGGCAGTGTCAAGACCTGTTTCTCTCTCCCTCCACATGCAGTGAATAGACCAGGGGCACACAAGAGGCTGGGGGAGGACACAAGGCCTATGACCCACACTCACCACAGATACTCTGTGCCATAGAACATCCTGCCAGCAGCACCTGAGGAGTGGGTTTAGGGAGGTCAGTCACTTGCTGGGGAACTGGCTGATCACCAGTCTGCCTGTGGGAGGTGGTGAGTGACTGCCTTTACACCACTTCTTTTGTTTTCCTTCTCTCTTCTACTCCTCCTCCTTTGCTTATTAAGCAATCTTATCTTGACCCATAAGGTTTTTTGGTTTTATTCTTCTTTTCCCTCTTGTGTCCCACTGGGCAGCAGGGGGGAAGCGAGCAAGCACCGCTCGTGCACTGAGGTACACTCAGTAGGCACCTCAGCTGCCTGCCAGGGTTCATGGACCACAGTTTGATTATGTCCTTCAAATCTTGACTCTTGAAAAGGCAAAATGCAACCCTCTGCTGAAAACCTCTGGTAAAAAAGATACAGTAAGATGAAGCTGAAGGGCAAGGACTAGACTCTGGGGAAACAGCAAGGATGCTGGATAGGAGAGACTAGTCATGGATAATTCCTCTCTGTTCTTCGTATTCCAAGGACTTAAAAAAAAAAGTAGACATGAGAGACCTCTCATGGCATACTAACTTACGTGCCATTACAGCTTTTGCTGTAATAAAATCCAAATGCTAAAAGGAAGTACATCAAAAGAGCACAGTTCCAAATCATGTGAAAGGGCAGTACAGCACCTGACCTCACAGTAAAGCCTGGCCCTATCACCCCAAGGAAATTCAAGTTCCCCAAGTGTTGCATTTCACCTCACGTTTTCATATTGCAGCTAAACCTCAATGCATTCTGGAGACTCTGTTCATACTTTAACTACTGTTAATACTTTAACGACTGTTAATAAAATGCTATTAACAGATAATTCATTATCCATCCTGGTTATCTTGCTACAAAAACTCACAGAAAAGGACATTCTGGTTTTGAAGTTCCATTGAAAGCACTGTTTTGAAAAAAAATCATTCCAAACAGAGCTGCAAGGGAAATTAAATCCACTTTTTTCTAGTTGAAGTGTTTCAAAACTCCAGGTGATTATTTCACTAAGCTGTCTTCATGCCTATTATGGATCCAAGCCATCAAGAAGAATTCGTCCCAGAAATGCAGAAGCACCAACAAAAAGGAGACACTTACAGCCAATATAGACTCTGGCTGACTGATATCTTCACGCTGTTAAAAGAATAAAATAGATAATTCAGCACTTAAGAACAAAAGCTCAGCTCTGGACTTGAGAACAGGCCAATACTGGTTGCTGGAGAAATTTCCTCAGAAAAAGTCACCCAGTCTAGGAACACATTTAGTGCTTTCTGATATGAACCACTGATCAGCCCACAGGACTCACCATACATACCCAAGAAGAAGGCAAACGAAGCTGTCTATAAGCCAGTTCTTTTGGCTCCTGGACCTCAAGTTTCCTGCTGTGAATTTTTATTAGAAGACATTTCCTTTCTCTTGCTCTAATTCCACATTTGAACTAAGTGGGACAGGAAGGTTGACAGAGAAAGGATCAAGACGTTTGCTTCATAAGCCACTGACCTGTGACCAGAATCGTACCCAGAACTCCCTAGACACGGGCTCCACGCGTGCTGGCTGGGTCATCTGGAGGGCTGTGATAAAGCGCATGGCCCCAAGGCTGCCTGGGGTTAGTGGGGACAGAGGAACAGGCTGAAAGGAGGCACAGCAGCAGGAAACTCACCGTGCTGCTACAGAGACTGAACCAGCAGCACTAGAGCTGAAAGACAGCAGCTGAGTCAAGTCCCTTACTTACTTGTACCCAGGATACGTTGGAAGTCACTTCCTGAAATTTTCACAGGCACTTGGTAGTATTTTGCCATCCTCTTGAGATCTTTCAGCATGTATTCTGCACGTTTTGGCAACATTGCTGGGGGCTTGTTACCTTGCAGGGAAAAAGGTTCTGTTGAGATTTTCCACTGTATTATAATAACACTAGACAAAACAAATGAGCCCTCATGCACAGATGTGCCTGAGTAGGAATACAGTGTCCTGCTGGCTTACTGAAACACACACAGCTTCTCCAGAGACTGGAGTTAAACCTGAGTTGTTTTGGCTTTGCACAGATCAACCCTTTAGGTTAGAAGAACCAGTTTTAAACCAAGGCACAAATGTCCTAGCAGGGATTTATATTGATTCAGATGACTTTTAAGCTAAACAACTACTAACGGGTGGGTAGACAAATGTAGAGCTTGTTAACGTCATGATTGGTAAGTCTCGGTTTGTTCATTAAGGCCACAAGTACCATTTCATGATGTACCTGGATCCTTCATACATGTCACAAACTGCAAGTGTTCCGCTAATTAATTCTCATTTGAACTCTGCAGAAAACTTCTGAAAAATATTCCATATCAAACTACAATTATTCTATTTTATAACTGAGGAGCTTTGGCATAGTGTATGTGCCACAGTGGCCGTGCAGCTACAACAGCATGAAATTCCTTGTGGCCGACTTCTCCGTCACTACTGAGCTCCACAATCCTACAGTTCGTTTGTTGCGTGTGCCAGAACTTAGTGTGAAGCTGGCTCTGTGGGCTCCGCACTCCCGAGGAGCTCGCCCGGTGGTGCCCCACAAGGGGAGGACGAATCTCCCTGCAGGGCTGAGCTCCTACCAGTCGCTTGCATTACGCCACCGAGGAAGGCCGGGCGGAGGCGCAGGTCGATGTCCCAGACGTGCTGGTACCGGCACAGCACCTGCGACACAGGGAAGCAGCGATGGGTCAGCAGAGAGCCCTGCGGAGCCGTGTGCGGCCCGGGGACAGGCCAGGGCATCAGGCAGGCGCTGCAGATCAATCCTTCTGCTGTTGTATTAGGGATGGTCCTGAAAGGCTTTTCTGCATGCTGCCAGAGGACTCGGAAAAATCGGAAGGACCACATCCGTATTGCCAGTATAGGAGTGTATACGGGGGTAAATAAGGCCAAGCTCCCGGGAGGACGCCTGCACTGCCTAAACATCAAAAATATCCCTAAAGCCAAACGCTGGGCAGCAACTCCACGTCCGCACAGGCCGTGCTCCCGCCCGGCCCACACGGGCTTCCCGGGCGCCTCTGCTTCCCGGCGCGTCAGGGAGGAACCGAAACGCCCTTCACAAGCGAGACAAACAAACGCGGCCCCCGCGAGGGGAGGCCCCG